ATGCTTGCAGTACTTAGTAATATTCCAGCTCTTTGCTTTGCAGTATTCAGTAATGTTCCAGCTCTATGCTTGCAGTATTCAGTAATGCTCAAGCTCTATGCTTGCAGTATTCAGTAATGTTCCAGCTCTATGCTTGCAGTACTCAGTACTTATTCCAGCTCTATGTTTGCAGTGCTCAGTAATATTCCAGCTCTATGTTTGCAGTACTCAGTAATATTCCAGCTCTATGCTTGCAGTACTCAGTAATGTTCCAGCTCTATGCTTGCAGTATTCAGTAATGTCCCAGCTCTATGCTTGCAGTATTCAGTAATATTCCAGCCCCTATGCTTGCAGTATTCAGTAATGTTCCAGCCTCCATGCTTGCAGTATTCAGTAATGTTCCAGCTCTATGCTTGCAGTATTCAGTAATATTCCAGCTCCATGCTTGCAGTATTTCAGTAATATTCCAGCTCTATGCTTGCAGTATTCAGTAATGTTCCAGCTCTATGCTAGCAGTATTCAGTAATATTCCAGCTCTATGCTTTGCAGCACTCAGTGATGTTCCAGCTCTGTGCTTGCAGTATTCAGTAATGTTCCAGCCCCATGCTGCAGCAGTGCAATAGTAATATTCCAGCTCTTTGCTTGCAGTATTCAGTAATGTTCCAGCTCTATGCTTGCAGTATTCAGTAATGCTCAAGCCCCATGCTTGCAGCACTCAGTAATGTTCCAGCTCTATGCTTGCAGTACTGCAATATTCCAGCTCTTTGTTTGCAGTACTCAGTAACATTCCAGCTCTATGCTTGCAGTACTCAGTAATGTTCCAGCCTCTATGCTTGCAGCACTCAGTAATGTTCCAGCTCTATGCTTGCAGCACTCAGTAATTCCAGCCCCATGCTTGCAGTACTCAGTAATGTTCCAGCTCTATGCTTGCAGTGTTCAGTAATGTTCCAGCTCTATGCTTGCAGCACTTAGTAATATTCCAGCTCTTTGCTTGCAGTATTCAGTAATGTTACAGCTCTATGCTTGCAGTATTCAGTAATGCTCAAGCTCTATGCTTGCAGTATTCAGTAATGTTCCAGCTCTATGCTTGCAGTACTCAGTAATATTCCAGCTCAATGCTTGTAGTACTCAGTAATGTTCCAGCTCTATGCTTGCAGTACTCAGTAATATTCCAGCTCTATGCTTGCAGTACTCAGTAATGTTCCAGCTCTATGCTTGCAGTATTCAGTAATGTTCCAGCTCTATGCTTGCAGTACTCAGTAATATTCCAGCTCAATGCTTGTAGTACTCAGTAATGTTCCAGCTCTATGCTTGCAGTACTCAGTAATATTCCAGCTCTATGCTTGCAGTATTCAGTAATGTTCCAGCCTCTATGCTTGCAGTGTTCAGTAATGTTCCAGCTCTATGTTTGCAGTACTTAGTAATATTCCAGCTCTTTGCTTGCAGTATTCAGTAATATTCCAGCTCTTGCTTGCAGTACTCAGTAATATTCCAGCCCCCATGCTTGCAGTACTCAGTAATGTTCCAGCTCTATGCTTGCAGTACTCAGTAATATTCCAGCTCTATGCTTGCAGTACTCAGTAATGTTCCAGCTCTATGCTTGCAGTGTTCAGTAATGTTCCAGCTCTATGCTGCTTTGCAGTACTTAGTAATATTCCAGCTCTTTGCTTGCAGTGTTCAGTAATGTTCCAGCTCCATGCTTGCAGTATTCAGTAATGCTCAAGCTCCCCATGCTTGCAGTATTCAGTAATGTTCCAGCTCTATGCTTGCAGTACTCAGTAATATTCCAGCTCAATGCTTGTAGTACTCAGTAATGTTCCAGCTCTATGCTTGCAGTACTCAGTAATATTCCAGCTCTATGCTTGCAGTACTCAGTAATGTTCCAGCTCTATGCTTGCAGTGTTCAGTAATGTTCCAGCTCTATGCTTGCAGTACTTAGTAATATTCCAGCTCTTTGCTTGCAGTATTCAGTAATGTTCCAGCTCTATGCTTGCAGTATTCAGTAATGCTCAAGCTCTATGCTTGCAGTATTCAGTAATGTTCCAGCTCTATGCTTGCAGTACTCAGTACTATTCCAGCTCTATGCTTGCAGTGCTCAGTAATATTCCAGCTCTATGTTTGCAGTACTCAGTAATATTCCAGCTCTATGCTTGCAGTACTCAGTAATGTTCCAGCTCTATGCTTGCAGTATTCAGTAATGTCCCAGCTCTATGCTTGCAGTATTCAGTAATATTCCAGCTCTATGCTTGCAGTATTCAGTAATGTTCCAGCTCTATGCTTGCAGTATTCAGTAATGTTCCAGCTCTATGCTTGCAGTATTCAGTAATATTCCAGCTCTATGCTTGCAGTATTCAGTAATATTCCAGCTCTATGCTTGCAGTATTCAGTAATGTTCCAGCTCTATGCTAGCAGTATTCAGTAATATTCCAGCTCTATGCTTGCAGTACTCAGTGATGTTCCAGCTCTATGCTTGCAGTATTCAGTAATGTTCCAGCTCTATGCGTGCAGTACTTAGTAATATTCCAGCTCTTTGCTTGCAGTATTCAGTAATGTTCCAGCTCTATGCTTGCAGTATTCAGTAATGCTCAAGCTCTATGCTTGCAGTACTCAGTAATGTTCCAGCTCTATGCTTGCAGTACTCGGTAATATTCCAGCTCTTTGCTTGCAGTACTCAGTAACATTCCAGCTCTATGCTTGCAGTACTCAGTAATGTTCCAGCTCTATGCTTGCAGTACTCAGTAATGTTCCAGCTCTATGCTTGCAGTACTCAGTAATTTCCAGCTCTATGCTTGCAGTACTCAGTAATGTTCCAGCTCTATGCTTGCAGTGTTCAGTAATGTTCCAGCTCTATGCTTGCAGTACTTAGTAATATTCCAGCTCTTTGCTTGCAGTATTCAGTAATGTTACAGCTCTATGCTTGCAGTATTCAGTAATGCTCAAGCTCTATGCTTGCAGTATTCAGTAATGTTCCAGCTCTATGCTTGCAGTACTCAGTAATATTCCAGCTCAATGCTTGTAGTACTCAGTAATGTTCCAGCTCTATGCTTGCAGTACTCAGTAATATTCCAGCTCTATGCTTGCAGTACTCAGTAATGTTCCAGCTCTATGCTTGCAGTATTCAGTAATGTTCCAGCTCTATGCTTGCAGTACTCAGTAATATTCCAGCTCAATGCTTGTAGTACTCAGTAATGTTCCAGCTCTATGCTTGCAGTACTCAGTAATATTCCAGCTCTATGCTTGCAGTATTCAGTAATGTTCCAGCTCTATGCTTGCAGTGTTCAGTAATGTTCCAGCTCTATGCTTGCAGTACTTAGTAATATTCCAGCTCTTTGCTTGCAGTATTCAGTAATATTCCAGCTCTTTGCTTGCAGTACTCAGTAATATTCCAGCTCTATGCTTGCAGTACTCAGTAATGTTCCAGCTCTATGCTTGCAGTACTCAGTAATATTCCAGCTCTATGCTTGCAGTACTCAGTAATGTTCCAGCTCTATGCTTGCAGTGTTCAGTAATGTTCCAGCTCTATGCTTGCAGTACTTAGTAATATTCCAGCTCTTTGCTTGCAGTATTCAGTAATGTTCCAGCTCTATGCGTGCAGTACTTAGTAATATTCCAGCTCTTTGCTTGCAGTATTCAGTAATGTTCCAGCTCTATGCTTGCAGTACTCAGTAATATTCCAGCTCTTTGCTTGCAGTACTCAGTAATGTTGAAGCTCTATGCTTGCAGTACTCAGTAATATTCCAGCTCTTTGCTTGCAGTACTCAGTAATGTTCCAGCTGTATGCTAGCAGTATGTAAATAATAGAATCTATAACTGACAATCAAACGATTGAGATCAATGAACATCGATCTATGCATTTGGGATATGATGACATGTGTCAACTTTGTCAATGATCCTGCCCCCCAATCCTCTTATTCAAACTATTGGGAGAGCAGCATATTGTAAGTCAATCTCTGATTAGTACATCAAGCAAGGATAATGCATAAATACAATCAACTGAGTTACGAATCCTCACAACCCTATCCATTAGGTTCATGACAGGAATAGGTTACAGGGTACCAAATTAGGTTGGGAGTGAATCTGTTTGGATCCACAATGTGTATTCAATGTGACATCAGTCACAGTAACCTTCAGGGGCATTTAGCATGATAATGTGTGAGACCTGCATCACTTGGTGGTTAACTCTTGTATCAAGCCGACATGCTGTGGTATAACTGGAATACTGTTCAAAGCAGTGTTAAACCACAATCACACCTCAGAGTACGGCCGACATAAGCACAGCTTAACTACCTCCCGATTCACAAGCTGAGACAGGGGCTTGGCACTTACTATATGCTGGTTCAAACTCCATTAAACTCTCATGAAGGGTGTTACTGGCAAACAAGGATAAGTTGGACCGGCGCACAGAACGCGTTTACGGCAATGAGCAAACACATTTGGTTTGTGAAAGGTAGAGCAGATGTAGGTTAGTGCACGTGCATTGCATGACGATGAAATTGATTCTGCACGTAGCTGCACATGCCTTGCTCATAAGACTACACTTGACCGCGGACAAACTGGGGCCCCTTCACTAACAATGGCAAGCGCCTGTCGCCAGCGCTCATACATGCTAATACGGGTCAATAGTCAGGTTGGTGCTCAACTTATCCTTGTTTGCCAGTAATTATTAACTGAACTACCTAAGGAAAAGAGATTTACGGATGTCAACTTCTTTATACGAACACAACATTCCTCATAATAAACAATCTGACATCCATAAAACTCTCTTCCTTATGTGTATCACTTCTAAATGCCATTGAAAGAACTGAACTTCCTGTTTGAAGCTGGACAAATTATCACGTAAGAAAAGGTAGCTGAACTGTGACCCAAGGATATGACTATAATCAGACAGACTCTTGCGCTTTTCCCTTGCTGTAACAAAAACCTTGGAGTCAAGTTTTAACTATAACAACATAATTGATGATCAATTCTGCCTTGGCACACACAAGAGCAATAATGGTCTCTCATGGTCTCAGTAAACTCACCGAGCTGCTTCTGCTCATTGATGCGATGGACATTCGGCTGCCAAAGTCACTTTCCACATCACCTACACGAAAAATATACAAAGTTGCTTTTTCAATTTTCCCAAACTTGATGTTAATCTATAAAAGGTGTTATTTACGATCCACTTTTATTAATTTCTCCAGCTATTATTCCACACTTACCCTGTTTTTTTTTGCATACAGGCATTTCTACAAGGGCTCTAATGATCATAAATTTGCTCTCTGCACACAATATACAAAATAACACATAGAAATTATTTAAACTAAAAAAGTGAACAAATGATATCCTTTTGCTTCTGATCTTACATTTAGATAAAATTAACACAAGGTATCAAGAGATTCTGCAGCTCACCTTTAAATTCATGTCTTTGAATATTTCATAGTTTTCTATTGGAATACAGGTGTCCTCAGGCTACGCTGTAATTCTAATATAATATTCATATATAGGAAAGAGGTGACTCACCTGGCATATGAGGGTAGTCAACTCCACCAATCGTACAGGTCTTAAATTCCATGAGGTTCTCCGTCAACGTTCCGGTCTTGTCGGAGAAGATGTACTCTATTTGTCCCAGGTCCTCGGTGATGTTAAGGGCTCGACATTCCAGACGTTTGTTGGAGAGTTCATGGTAAACATCCTCGTCGTTGTTGATGAAGTACACCTGGGCTATCTTCACCAACTCCAGGGAGACGTACATGGGAAGGGGGATCACCGTCTGGAACAGAAGTTGTATCGTTAATTGTTTTTACTTTTCAGAATGATGATATGATAATAATGAATTTGTATGGTGCCTTGTTTCAACCATACAGTGTTCAACGGCGCTGAAATCACAATCTGATTATTATTACCCCGGATAACTCATGCTGCCTGCGAGGCGCTAGAAGGTTATTAGTCATAGGACTTATCCCACCGGGTACCCATTTTCTGCTTGGTGAACAGAGGCAATTTTGAACAAGCTCACTTGCTTAATGTGAGACCACACGTATCACATGTGCTTTTGTTGGCAGGACTGAAGTCCTAGAACCTCTCAGGAGTCAAGCTGCCAAACACGGTCACCCATCCAAGAACTGTCTGCACTCAACGTTGCTTAACTTCAACTGATTCGTGACCTGAGCTCTATGCACAGGACCAAACGCCACCACCCTGTTCCCAACATGGCATAGGCGGAGGGGAAGCAATATTCCAGCTTTTGCCTGTAAACAATCAGTTACTCAGGACAATAAGGCTCTTTAAGGACATGTCACAAAGTATATCCAGCCCTTTACAGGACTCATTACCTGAAATATGATGATGTAGGTCCAGAAGACGATGAATCCTTGGTAGACAGGGCTGAACTTGTCAAGGTCACCAAATGGAATGAAGGGCACATAGTTGGTGTTGTCTGTCAGGCCATTGAAGTTGGACAGCCAGATTCCACTACCTGGAAACAAGCCTTATGACTGAGAGTAACCATCAGGTTTACAAAACATTTGGTTTTATCCCTTATGTTCAAACACTGCAAAGTGTTCTTTGAATGTAAATAAATTGATAGAAATATAGGTTACATTCACAAAAAAAATCATTCAATATCATTCAATCAGAAGCCAAAGATGGGTCTTCTAAGAAAGCAAAATTTTCTAAGAATGTATTTACAGTAATGATACTAACATATAAATTATGTATTTAAACTATAATATGTTGAGAGAAACAATAAGCGATCATTAGGAAACCCTCAAGCTGCCCATTATTACTTTCCAGTTTTCATCACCACAGCGCTATTCAAAGCTGGTGATGAAAACTGGAACATATTAAAGGAATGCTTGAATTTTCCTGTGTTCCTTTATTTGTTTCTTTCAGTATATATAAAATGACAAGTCAATGAAGTACAATTGAAATTTTTCTCAAATAACCATCTCAGTTGTGAATGAGGAGGGAGTCACGACTTATATTCCTGTGATTTCATGGTGAGGGACACCCAACCAGCTTCACATATTGCATTCTTGATAAGAATCAAATCAGAATACTGTGTATTGAACTGACGTGTTAATCACTAGACTGTCCTACTATCACAATTACAGACAGAATGTAACTTCTTGTTACAGCAGAATGAAGAATTGTAGGTCCCCACAGTCCCTAGTATGGTGGCCTATCTTAGGTTGCTAGCAATCCCTTGTCCATTTCTTTCTAGTATTGTTAATTATTAGTTTAATATTTTAATTTTCCTTGAGTTGGTTGGTTACATTTCAGAGTGGTTGGTTGGTTGTTGTTGTTTAATGCCGCACTCAGCAATATTCCAGCTATAGTGGGCTGCTTGTAAATAATTGAGTCTGGACCAGACAATCCATTGATCAACAGCATGAGCATCTCTCTACGTGTCCGGGATACGATGACATGTGTCAACCAAGTCAGTGAGCCTGACCACCCGATCCCGTTACCATCACAGAGTGAAACCACTGAGCACAAGCAGGCTTCTCACAAATTTAGAGTGACTGAGTGAGTTTGGTTAAGCACCACAATGAACAGTATTTCAGTGTATTTAACACCACTTAGAACAGTACATCATGGGATGTCAGCTTCATGTGGAAGAAATCCGTGAAGATCTGGGTTAGAATTGATCTTCACGGACCAATGCTTCTTGTAAGAGGCGACTAAGGGGATAAGGTGGTCAGGCTACACATGTCATTGTATCCAAATTGCATAGATCGATGCTAGCGTTATTGATCACTGGATAGTCTGGTCTAAACTCGATTATTTACAGACAGCCGCCATTTAGCTAGAATATTGCTGAGTGTGGCATAAAACTAAATTCACTCACTCACTCATGTGGGAGAAAAACCTAAAATGACTCAGGTCATGGTCATACACCACCTTGGTTTAACCCATTATCATCTATGTGGTGGTTAAAAACCAGGAATCATAAACAGGCAACTCTTGGATTCAAACCAAGAATTTGTGAAGGACACAACTACGCACCATCCCTTGCAACACCAACAAGGCTTATTGCATTGATATACAGGTTGTTTCAAGTGAATTCCTTTGACAGCCTTAATGGTAATATATTCTGTGTGAGTCAAGAGCTCAGCTGATAAACATGTTGCGGGAGAGGTGACCTAGATAGTGCCCATATATTTGGTCAGGATGACAACGTCGTAGTTGACAGGGAGTGCATAAGTTCCATTCAATGCAGCAGTAACATAATGGAACAACACATAAAACAGTACTAAGGTACTGTAGTTCACTGTATTAGGAATATATATTTGTGTTTGTTTTGTTGGTTGGTTGTTGAACTAAGCACATTATTCCATCTATATGGTGGCCATCAGTAAATAATCGAGTCTGGACCAGACAATCCAGTGATCAACAGCATGAGTGAGTGAGTGAGGTTAGTTTTACGCCACTCTCAGCAATATTCCAGCTGTATGGTGGCGATCTGTAAATAATCGAGTCTGGGCCAGACAATCCAGTGATCAACAGGATGAGCATGGATCTAAGCAATTGGGATACAATGACATGTGTCAACAAAGTCAGCGGGCTTGACCACCTGACCCTGTTAGTCGGCTCTTACGACAAGCATGGGTTGCTGAAGATCAATTCTAAACCAGATCTTCGCAGGTCATAAAAGTAGGAAAGAGACCAAACCACCATTTCAAACAAATGTTTTGACATGTAGCTTATAGATACATGAATGGCAGCAGAATAATGATCTGTACAATTGGAAATTGTCACCAGCCTCTACACCCGGAAACGGTGGGGTAGCCTAATGGTTATAATGTTCATTCGTGACGCTGAAGACCAGGGTTAGATTTCCCACATGGGTACAATGTGTGAAGCCCATTTCTGGTGTCCCCTGCCATGATATTGCTGGAATATTGCTAAAAGCGGCATAAAACCGTACTCACTCACCGCAGCACCCGAACTATTTGGTTCAGTGTTATATGTATTCCAATATTGAGTCAAATTACAGGCTTTTAGGGGTGTCCTAATATGCTATCATGATTTGGGACTAATACAATACAAAGTTCAGTTGTTTTATCCCTGACCTAAATTAGCATGTTGAATGTAACAACCATAATTTCACAGTAAAAAGTCAAGGCTTTTATGATATAACTGCAAGAATATTTTCACTTCTATAAAACTGATGATGTTGTTTAAGAATTTGCAGAATAATGTGAACAATGGCTGATGTAATTTTTAATTGTTGAACATGCAGTGACATCTTGAACAACAGCTGACGTCCTTTCTTAATTGTTCATTACAATGCTGTGACAATGTAAACTATAGTTGGTGTTATTTTCAATTGTCAATCAAAATGCTGTGACAATGTAAACAATAGCAGCTGTTATTTTCAATTGTCAATCAAAATGCTGTGACAATGTAAATAATAGCTGCTGTTATTTTCAATTGTCAATCAAAATGCTGTGACAATGTAAACAATAGCTGCTGTTATTTTCAATTGTCAATCAAAATGCTGTGACAATGTAAACAATAGCTGCTGTTATTTTCAATTGTCAATCAAAATGCTGTGACAATGTAAACAATAGCTGATTAAAAAACAATAGCTGCTGTCATTTATAATTGTCTACCACAAAGTTGTGATGTCTTGAACAATATGTATGTGAACTTAGCTCTGTTCCCCGAAACAAAGATATAAGTCATGATGCATCTGGGACCCTCTCCCAAAAGCGGTCATAGAGTTCGGAGCTATGGCAGGCATATAGTTTATCATAGGCTTACAAATATCCTAGTGCTATGAACACTTTGTGGATCGGGCCCCAGAACAAGACCAAAACAATCGCAGGTATATAGTTTATCATAGTGCTACTTTAACTTACAAATATCCTAGTGCTAGGCTTACTATCATAGCGCGCTTGGTGGATCGGGCCCCAGAACAAGACCAAAACAATCGCAGGTATATAGTTTATCATAGGCTTACAAATATCATAGCGCTACAAACACTTGGTGGATCGGGCCCCAGAACACTGTTTTACATTAAACATATAAATCTCATGCACCTATGGGTTTCCATACATGACAGAGACTAAACAACACATGGACACTGCTCTGTTAGAGAGGAAGGACATTATTGAAATGCACAGAATAAACATAAGCTGATATGAAACCCAAAAACACTTGTGTTAGGGTCAGGATAGGGTTAGGCTAACCATAATCGATCAACAGTAACACCACACCTCAAAACCGAGGTGTTCCTGAGAGATAAGAGGTTTTGAATACTTCTGGGTCATGATGAATCAGATTTTTCTCATTACTAAGACCAGCAATACACAACGTTAAAGGGAGTCAGTTTAGTTTTACGCCACTTTTAGCAATATTCCAGAAATATCACGGCATGGAACTCCAGAAATGGGCTCCACACATTGTACCCATGTGGGGAATCAAACCCAGGTCTTCAGTGTGACGAGCGAACGCTTTAACCAGTAGTCTACCCCACCACCCCTACTTTAAAGGGAGAAGAAAGTATGTTTTTCAAAGGGAACAGAGAGGGTAACAACTTCAAACTGTTACTGAAACCAGTGAGTGAGTGAGTTTAGTTTTACGCCGCACTCAGCAATATTCCAGCTATATGGCGGCGGTCTGTAAATAATAGAGTCTGGACCAGACAATCCAGTGATCAACAGCATGAGCATCGATCTGCGCTATTGGGAACCGATGACATGTGTCAACCAAGTCAGCGAGCCTGACCACCCGATCCCGTTAGTCGCCTCTTACGACAAGCATGGGTTACTGAAGATCAATATTCTAACCCGGATCTTCAAGGGTCTGAAACCAGTAACCTTGTGAACATGAGGGACAATAATGTTGAGTGAGTGAGTTAAAATGTAACATCACTTCAGCAATATTTAAGTCATATAGTGATGAAAATAACGTTCAAAATACCATGAATATTCATAATGATGTGTTGTTTCAGGGATTTCTATTAATTTATAGACACTGACAACTTTTCTTTTAAAAAATCTGATCCTGTTAGTTGCCTCGTACCACATACTTGTGAGTGAGTGAGTTTAGCTCAGCAATATGCCAGCCATATGGCAGTGGTCTGTAAATAATCGAGTATGGACCAGACAATACAGTGATCAACAGCATGAGCATCAATCTGCGCTATTGGGAACCAATGACATGTGTCAGCCAAGCCAGCGAGCCTGAACTGATCCCGTTAGTCGACGTATTGATGACTTAGGCCAATTTTATATGAGCCTTTTCTGAAACAAGTTTCATGAAATCAGAATGATACATGCATGAATGAAATGATCATTTTATTACCAACACTTATTGATCAGCTGTAGATATGAGAGTGTTTTATTTCCTGAAAACACTGCCAACATGTCATCAAGGTCAATATGGGGTTAAACATTCTATCACTGCTCATGCACAGAAAATGAACTGCAGCTGTCTACGTAAATTGAATTAACAATAGCAGTGCAATAAATTGAGGCTTTCAAAATGAAATTCAACACGAGTCAAACACAAAATATTTAGAATTGTCACTTTTAAATTAGCAATCTATCTGAATTCACTGGCAAGCTGTTTTGATGGACAGAACAACCCAACACCATGCAATCTAGAGTGGGCAACTGTGAGTCTTGGAAAGATTTAAATGTTACCTTATTGAGTGGTTAAATGATTTTATACCATATTTAGTAATATGCGAGCTACATCACAGCTAAGGACACCAGAAATGGGCTTAAAAATTGTACCTATGTGGGAATCAAACCAGCATTTTGGTCATGATGAGTGAAAGCTTTAACCACAGGGCTACCTGACCACCATTCATGCAGTAAACGAACAGCAGCGATTAGGTGATCTTTAATAATGTTTTAAAGGAAGTTTTTCGGTGGTGGAAATAAAAACAGAACTGTCTTGAAATGAACAAGTCGGTGATTGAAATAAAAATAGAATTGTCTTGAAATGAACAAGTAAGGGGTCGGAAAAAATAGAGTTGTTTTGAAATGAAAAAGTTGATGGTTGAAATACAAATAGAACTGTCTTGAAATGAAAAAGTTGGTGGTCGAATTTTTTTATATATGTCATGAAATTAAAAAGTCCGTGATCGAAATAAAAATAGAAATGAACAAGTTGGTGGTGAAAGTAAACTTTTACCAAACTTTTTCAAAAGATTACATTATATATCTTGTTTTCCGTATAGGATGTAAGAGATGTACGAAGAATGTCTTTGACTCTACCAATGGCACAGAAGAAGCAGAGGAAGAGCAAGAGTATGACACACCAGATGACATCCTGGTTGATCTTCCGCTCCAGCTTACTGCGCTTGTATCTGGGACCACGGTTGTTTAACATCGCCTTTGTCTCATGACCTGAAATAGGGAGAAGGACTTGGGTCAAACAGTGACGTTTAACATTACACTCAGCACTTTTCTAGGTTCATCAGACCTACCATTGATTAATGAAGACTAGGTAATCTAATGAGGTGAGGTGAGGTGAGGTGCAGTGCAGTTGGGTGCAGTGAGGTGTTGTATGGTGAGGTGAGGTGAGGTGCAGTGCAGTGAGGTGTTGTACTGTGAGGTGAGGTGAGGTGCAGTGGAGTGACGTACTGTACTGTGAGGTGAGGTGAGGTGCAGTGCACTGAGGTGTTGTATGGTGAGGTGAGGTGCAGTGCAGTGAGATGTTGTACGGTGAGGTGAGGTGAGGAGCAGTGCAGTGAGATGTTGATGTTGTATACGGTGAAGTGAGGTGCAGTGCAGTGAGATGCTGTACAGTGAGTGAGTGAGGTGAGGTGCAGTGCAGTGAGATGCTGTACTGTGAGGTGAGGTGAGGGATTGAGGGGTGTTGTGCTGTGTTCTGAGGTTATGGGGTGTACTGTGAGGTGAGATGCTATACTGTGAGGTGAGATGAGGTGAGGTGTTATACTGTTAGGTGAGAGTAGGTGGGGTGAGGTGCTATACTGTGAAGTGAGGTGCTATACTGTGAGGTGAGAGGTGAGGTGAGGTGCAGTGCAGTGAGATATTGTACGGTGAGGTGAGGTGAGGTGCAGTGCAGGGAGATGTTGTACAGTGAGGTGAGGTGAGGTACAGTGCAGTGAGATGTTGTACTGAGGTGAGGTGAGGTACAGTGCAGTGAGATGCTGTACTGTGAGGTGAGTTGAGGTGAGGTGAAGTGAGATGTACTGTGAGGTGAGGTGCAGTGCAGGGAGATGTTGTACAGTGAGGTGAGGTGAGGTACAGTGCAGTGAGATGTTGTACTGAGGTGAGGTGAGGTACAGTGCAGTGAGATGCTGTACTGTGAGGTGAGGTGAGGTGCAGTGAGATGTTGTACGGTGAGGTGAGGTGAGGTGCAGTGCAGTGAGATGCTGTACTGTGAGGTGAGGTGAGGTACTGAGGGGTGGGTGTACTGTGAGGTGAAGTGCTATACTGTGAGGTGAGATGAAGTGACGTAAGGTGAGGTGCTATACTGTGAGGTGAGAGTAGATAATGTACTGTGAGGTGTTTTGCTGTGCTTGAGGTGCTATACTGTAAAGTGAGGTGTGGTACTGAGAGATGTTTCGTTTTGTTGTGAGGTGAGACGAGGTGAGGTGCTGTACTGTGAGGTGAGGTTAGCTGAACTGTAGTTCTGTTCTGTTCTGTGACGTGAGGTGAGAGGAGGTGATATACTGAGAGGAAGTGTTTTGCTGTGCTATGAGGTGAGGTGAGATGATATACTGAGAGAATTTGTGCTGTGAGGTGAGGTGAGGCGTGGTGAAATAGGTTTTAATGTTACATTCATGATAATCGTGCTACTGTCATACTGCGCCATTCAGCAACAGGTGTTTGGCTGCTTGTACTAACCCGGACTAATGCTTGTTCAACTTGGCAACCAACTGCGACACCATATCCAGGGATGGAAATAACTTTAAAATTGCTAGTGTACTCCGGAACAGTGGCACATGTAAAATCACTTGCCCTGATAATTTTTCCGCTATACCGGCCGATCTCTTGGTGATTTTTTAAATAAACAACATAATTAACATTGGAATGTCAACTGGACACCGGGTACAGCGTGATACACAAATGTGCTTGCCCGACAGAAAAAGCACTGGACTCGGGGCGTCGGGCAATGGGTTATTTCCACCCTGATATCATGTTTTATATTGATATCCAACTCACACACTAGTCAATTATGATCCCTACGATTTATACCATGTGCAACAATCCACATGATCAGGGATCATTGACAGGGCAGCCACAGAGCCAAGTCACTGATAACAGTTTCGCCAACTCTGATGACAAGCATGGCTATAAAAGACCTTTCATGTACAGCAACTTTGCAGTTTCTGTGCCGTGACATTTTCATATCTTCAACAATGGCAATCGCCGAGTGCTTTTGACTGCACCAACTTCCCATCTGCAGTGGATGAGAGCTAGGTCATGCTTGTCATTTCAACTATGTCTTAGATACACAGGTGTACAATATGTGAGGTTTGAACAATTATTGCGTGGGTAGTGTGTTGTAATCTTCTTTTACATCATGGGGGGATATGTTGTTCAGTGCATAATTTGACATTGTTGTAGAGACCATAATGATTGGTATAAACTCTCTGAAGTTTCACATGATATACATGAAGAGGGGCATTTTATGGACGTCTACTTCTGTAATATTAGAATTTATTACTCTCCCATAGAAGATACTGCAGTGTAATATTATCATCACACTTAGTAGGTAGTTTCTTTCAATTTTTGTTGAGAATAATAAACAGAATACTAAACTTCGCTTCGTGACATACCATTTCTATTAAACTTGTGAAAGATACAGCTTTTGCCTCGTTTGATACCAAATCATTAACTTCGTTTAATAAAAATGGTATTACACAGGAGGTCATTTAGTATACTCTATATACTTCGAAATATACTACTCCTCATGTTACAGAAGGTGACAACCATAATATGACCCCCACTATGATTGTTATAAATGCCAAATAGATACTGCAGTATGTACTATGAAGAGAGGTCAAAAGTTTTGAGAACTTCTCAAATCAGCAGGGAATCTCTCTTCCCATTACCACAATATTAATACTGTTTGTTGTGAGGTGTTGAAACTTTCACAGGTATCTCATGAATGATCAATGTATGCAATACTACTAGCGGCACAGCTGTTTCGCAACTTCAGGTAGTGAGTTCTATAAACTTTTTGACCTCCCATTTTGCAATACATACATTTATTACATATACTCATGGAATCGAATAAGGGAACACCTGAAACTACAAGTTTTCCCTTATTCTTTTCCATGTTTTTCCCCAAGGTATGTATTGCACTGTAAGCGGTGAAATTCTGGAAAGAATAAAAGAACACCTTTACTTTCAGGTGTTCCCTTATTCGTTTCCATGGGTATATATTGCCAAACAATTTTCAGGCAAATACACAGCCTGTGTATTAACCATTGTGAAGAAGTGTTAAGCAGTTAATGATCACCCTGATTTCACACAAAAACTTCTCAGAGTTCAACATCCTGTTACGAGTCTTGGTACGTCAATGAATTTATACAGGCTCTCTGGATATGACAAAAGGCCTATCAGCTGTTGCATAATTGTTTACTTTTACTGATATATACACATTGTATATATATTGTCCATGCCTACTAGGCCAACGACCTGATGTGGTGCTGTTCTACTGACATTTCTATTGTTAAGGAAGTAATAAGATATGGATGAACAACTTCTATATTACTCCGATTGTAATAAAGTTATTTATCCATATTTCTTATTCTCCCTTAAGAGCTGTGAATAGCTGTAAAATTGCTGATGCAGCTTAAAGCAACATTGACTCGCTCAATTATTCTTCCTCAGTATCTGAATGCCTCTCAAGAAGTTATTTTTAGAGAGCGGAAGGTTGCAGTTTCGATCCCCGCATCATACCAAAAGATGTTAAAATATGGTACTTGTTGGTCCCTGCCTGGCGCTCGGCATTAATGGGTACAGCAAGGACTGGTCGGCTTGGAGTCAGTATAATGTGTCTGAGTGGGGTATTCCTGCTTAACTGTGGAATGGTAACTCAGTGAACTAGAACTAAAAAAAACCCAGCTTAGTCTGGGCTAGTACAAGCAGCCGCACATACATATGAGTTGTCATATGAGTGAAATATTCTTAAGTGCGACGTTAAACCCCATTTCACCTCACCTCACCTGTTTATTTAAATCATTGTAATGTGTGAGTGAGTGCCTGATGGAAGAACGTCTTACCTGCATAAACCACGATTCCCTCGATAAAGTCAGTGTTTTTCAGAATGCATCCCCGCAGGAGTAAGTTTTCATTACTTAAGGAAATTTTTTGCTTTGATTCTTTTTCTCTGCAATGGAAAATAGAACAAAAAAATAATACAAAATCACTACAAATATTCTTCCATACATTTTGAAGACATACAACTATCTAAGTGTTTGTTTTTGTTGGTTTGTTGCTTAATGCCACACACAGCAATATTCCAGCTATATGACGGCAGCACATAAATACCAATCCAATGATCAACATCATGAGCATCGATCTATGCAATCTAAGCGAAAATGTGTAACCTGTAGACATACTGAATGTGATGAGCATCACAAACTTCAGGAGGTATTGTCTATTGTTTTCTAAAATAAACAATAATCAGCAAACAATAACAGGCAACAAAAATGCAATGCAACAAAAATATTATGCCTATTTCTTGTAAAAAGGAATCATGAAACATTTCTAATTCTTCCAAGACTTCAACAAACATTATTATGAAAAACACTAATAAAATCATGCATGCATATTACATATCACAATTTTTCGGTTTTGATTGATAAAGTTTCATAACATTATTGTACAGTTTAGACAAACAGGAAAGGAAGACATTTAACTTTAGAAAAATAAGCATCATGGCTACACAGTATACTTACACATAGCCTCTGAACTTGTAAATTTCTGAATTTGGAAGCTCAACGTCCAATTTATGCTGGAACCTACTGATCTCGAAATCATTGCTGAACTGAAAGAAAATATATTTTCAATGTAGAACATTCTTTTGAAAAGGTTCATTCTGAAAATGAAGCAAAGAAGGTTAGTGGAAGCCTATCGGGTGGATCTAACACACTTGTTAAATCTCTATCAAAATCTTCTCATTATCAAGACCTTTACTGTAAAAATATTCAATAAACTTCACTGGACTCAACGAACATTGCTTTAGCACTACCAGATTTCCATCTCTCCATAAAGTTGAAAAAAGAAAAGAGCACTCTGGCAAGCAATGATGATGACATCATCGCCAAACCAGAAAGAAGCCTTTGAGATAGTTTGTAATCAATGTTTCAAGTTTACTAGTAGAAATAGCTATTGTTACAAACATGCATCTACAACTAGGTTTTCCGTCGAAATCTGAACAGTTTGTAGTCAAGTTCCACACATGTTTTAATTATTTATTATAGGATATTTCTACACCGCACATCCATGCAACTAGTACATACTCAAGGCGCTGGGGTTTTTTCCCCTCGATCACTGGATGTCAATCTCAACAGCACAACGCATTATCAATCTGAACTCCCTGGGGATCATACAAATCTTGCAGCCACTTATGCGCACCAATTTATTGCGGCTTTCCCATCCTTATGAGGCATTTGTGTATTGCAATATCTATTGTATCATGTATCATACTCCAGATCATGTTGCCTATGTATCATACAAGGTCGTATCATAGCATTGCTTATGTATCATGACCTTGCTGTCATCCCCAACTGAGGATGATGTTGAAAGACAATGACAAACCGGCTCCCTCAACGTAGTCCATCAGTTTCGCTGAGTACATTTCTGTCACTCCTCATGTGACAATAAGTGCGTGTCCAGCCTATTTATTCACATGTTCCCATTAATACTCTCAGCAAACATCATAATTAATCCTCCCTGGACAAGTGTTATTGTGTGTTCTGGTACAGTGGTTAAATTTGATATCAACGCTACCTGACCACCCATGAGTGGTCAGAAATGCACATACTAGGAAAACAATGAAACAAGACAATTTGACACCAAGGAATCGTTAATGGTAACACAATGCACAGGAAATAAGTCATATGTATCAAATTTTTTCACCGGATCATATATACAATATAATCCATCAATGTCACCACACAACCATCTACTGGTTTTGTAGTTCCATAGCTTCCAATTCTGATATCACATCCAAACTGTTGACACTTTTGAGATTCACCAGAGTGGGGAGTGGGTGAGTGAGTGAGTGAGTGAGAGAGTGAGTGAGACTGAGTGAGTGAGAGTGAGTGAGTGGGAGCGAGTGAGGAGAGTGGAGTGAGTGAGTGAGTGAGTGAGTGAGTGAGACTGAGTGAGCGAGTGAGTGAATGACTACCAACTAGTGTTGTGAATTGGTTAAAATCTCATAAATGATGTTTGGTTCATTACAACCCGATCAGTCATCGAAAAATAATTGATTAGCTTCATTTAACAAAAAATTTGTTTTTGTTTGTTAATGCACAACAAATAAAGAAAATACATGTAGTCATTTGTTTTGTTTTTTTGCAAACAACGCAAAATGCATTTACAAATTTCATATCTTTAAAGGATTACTAGTATGTTAGGAACATACATTTCCTCCAGTCATTAAGATATATCCATAATGACTTGGGATGAGCCTGTAGCTTATGAAATGTAACAGACAAAACCAACCTTGTGAAAAATATTCGCCAGCACACACTTTAAGTCAGCCAGCCTAACCTGCTCAGCCACTGTGACTTCCCCAAAAATGGGGGCTGAGGTTAGGCGGCTGACTTTGTGTGCAGGCGATTAGGTGCCTGACTCTGAGGGTGTGGGTTCGAATCCCGCATGGGACTCATGCCCCAAAAGTACTAGAATTTGTACTTTACTAAGAAAGTGTAACCCCAAATATAACATATGTTACATTTGACCACTTTCTAAATGGCATTGTGTAATCATACCTACTCAAACATGACAAAGAATATTGTTTTTATCCCCTGACCTTATCCTGCCAAAAAACCGACTAAATTGTTTTGAGATTCACCAAAGTGTGAGTGTGTGAGTGAGGTTTGATCCCGATTTGAACAGCATAACAGTTATATCATGGCATGTCTGAGTGAGTGAGTGAGTGAGTTAATGAGTTAGTTTTACGCCGCTTTTAGCAATATTCCAGCAACATCACGGTGGGGGACACCAGAAATGGGCTTCACACATTGTACCCATGTGGGGAATCGAACCCAGGTCTACGGCGTGACAAGTGGATGCTTTAACCAATAGGCTACCCCACTGCCCCGCTTAATGTGAGAAGAAAGCTGTTGTTAGTGATATCAATGATCCCAGTAGTTACTCCACATTCCTGATGGCTAATTCTGACTCGATTACTGATTCACAAGGGCGACACCATCTTTGAAAACATTAAAAGCAGTTCAAGCTACTGAACCTTTCATAATCTTCATCCAAATATGAACACATTGAATGCTGTTTTCATTGCCTTTATCCTGCCGAGAAATCTACCAATCATATTAGAAGGCAAATTTTGCAATAAAATAACCTTTTGGAAGGCGAACAAGCCCCTAAACCAAAGTTCTGACATACCAAAAAGGCACAGGTCAGTAAAACCCTTAATCCTTAGCGATCTACAGTCTGGGCAAATATCTGGTTGACAAGATAATCCTTCCCAACCTTTTTATGCAACAGGGGCGATTGGGGTAGCCTAATGGTTAAAAGCGTTGGCTCAAATCCGCGCCGAAGACAAGGGTTCGAATCCCAACATTGGCACAATGTGTGAAGCCCATTTCTGGTGTCCCCGCCGTGATGTTGCTGGAATATTGCTAAAAGTGGCGTAAAACCAAACTCAGTCAGTCAGTTTTATGCAACATGACTAAGTATCCTCTCTGTGTGTAAGTTGTATGGAACAGCTTCTGTGACATTATGAGCTCATCGTCCACAACATATGTTTCCAGTCAGATTATACATACATCAACTGTTCACTAGAGACAGCTGTCAACTGTCAGCATGACCTTACACTTGTAAATATACAGCACTTTTTACAGTTTTAATCCTTCTGTTTTTTTACCAACATCACCAATGCTGCATTACACGGAAAAGGATTCTGTTCCATGAAAATAAATGTCACTGACAATAGCTAACAAGAAAACAGAATGTATTTTATTTCCTAGTTTAGAAATTAATTAATCCACAAATCCAGTTAAGACCATTAAATAAGCTTTACTGGCAAGCCATGTTTTTATATGATTCTAAATTACAGAGTATGCAGTTGTTTATTTTGAAGAAAGACTGAGATGGTCAAACAATGGAAGTAAACTAAAACAAATTATATTTTCATGGTCATTAAATATAATGCATTTAACTGATACTGTAACTGATGATGTGATAAATATACCCCTGTGATATTCTAAAACTGATGTGCTGACTGATCAAAAGGGAAGACCAGGTTGTTTGATCATGCCGTGAGTTAGGTACACGCTGCATCAATTATTGATGCCCGGTATTGGTTTACCTGTGGGCTGCCTGTCAATGGACTGGAACATGACTTTTGAATGAAACAAAATGTCTGCCTATAGATCAGAGAGTATGTTAACAGGTATTTTCCAAATCCACATAAACATATGGTTATTTGATGCTTTCAGCAATATTTACATCCACACCACAAGGATCGGCTCTACTCATTGTGCCCATGATGGAAACTGAGAGTTTTCTATGCGAGTCAGTTAGGTGATAAACTGAATCGATTAGAGATAATCACACTGTGTTTTTAGTGAAGAACTATGTTACTTGTACAGTCAGCTGTGCTGAACTTAATTTAAAACTGGACAAGGAGAGTGGTTTCAGTTACACAGTTATAAACATGAAGTCTTTGGAGTCCAGAAATATACCAAGCGTGGGTTGAGTCTGATGTTTTGTGAGGTTGATCAGCACAGAAACACCAACGATAACCGTACACAAGATGTATACCAAAGCATGTATAACAACAAGATTGTAAGCTAACATGGACCGGGTATCCTAAACTAAGGAAACCTTTCAAGATTTTCATTTTGCGCCACATGATTGCATGACCACACGATCACATGATAATAGCCTATCCCTTATGTGACTCAAAGATATGAGTGAGTGAGTGAGTTTAGTTTAAATGTACAATATTCCAGCAATACGATGGAGGTCTGTAAATAATCAAGTTTGGACCAGACAATCCAGTGATCAACACCATGAGCATTGATCCAAAGATATGACATCACAGTCTATGTAGAAAAGCACCAAATATCTGTCTGTTGTAACCACAACAGAATTTTATTGTTTTCTGCATAAAATGTATTGCTTCACATCCTTTGAATATTATGCATTTTGAAACTCCACTTATGATTATTTAAAAAGGCCTACTGACAATGAAGGAAAAAGAATAACTATTCTAAAAATACAGTTAAACACTGTTGTGTCAAACTTGAAGGAGTGAGTGAGTTTTACCCTGCTTTCAGAAATATTCCAGCAATATCATGGCAGGGGACACCAAAAATGGGCTTCACATATTGTACCCATGAGGGGAATCGAGCCCAAGCCTTCAGTGTAATGAGTGAATGCTTTTGCCACTAGGCTACCCCACCGGCCCAAAATTGAAAGAATCAACACTAATTCTTCAAGTTATTGAAGATTTGTCACAACTGAAATATGATAAATAAAGAAGGGAACCAAGAGTTTCACTGTGACAGATCTGTAGGTTTTCACATTAGAGTCTGGGAGAGCGGAAGGTCGCGGGTTCGATCCCTGACCGCGTCATACCAAAAGACCTTAAAATATGGCACTTGTTGGTCCCTGCCTGGCTCTCAGCATTATTGGGTACAACAAGGACTGATCGGCTCGGAGTCAGAATAATGTGTCTGAGTGGGGTATTCATGCTTCACTGTGGCATGGTACCTCAGTGCGCTAGCACTATAAAACCAGCTTCAGTCTGGGATAGTACAAGCAGCCGCACATACACATACACATGCATGCACGTTGTTATATGAGCGAAATATTCTCAAGCACGGCGTTAAACCCAATTTCACCTCACCTCACATTAGAGTCTGACACAACAGTGCCTGACCGTATTAGCTTTGGGAGTGGCCCAATCCATCAGATTGCTGGTTTCAATCAGAGTTGAGTAAGTATGGTTCTATGCCGCTTTTAGCAATATTCCAGCAATATCACGGCAGGGGATACCAGAAATGGGCTTCACACATTGTACCTATTTGGGGAATCAAACGCTTTATCCACTAGGCTACCCCACCACCCTTCAATCAGAGAGCATTTAATATTGAGTAATTTCCAAATCCAAGGTGTAATAAGTCCATAGCCACTTGTATAATACATCCACCAGATCAATAACCAAAACTTCTTCACATGAGGTCAAACAACATGAAGTGTCTGGTCCGAGCACAAACATTCTTCAACAACAAACACACACACATTTGAGGGGATCGTATGCCAGGGGCAGGTAACTCTAATCTGCCCTCCTTTAGAAGTAAGTACATTGTGCACATGACACCTGGCTCTTGTGTCTGAATGGGTTACGTTATGTGTTGAGGAGGGTGTGGTGATGAGAAGATGTTTTGCAGTTTAGCTAACACTACACTATTAACAATCACTGAAGAAATGAATTTAAAATATGGAACCACTTTGCTTTACCAGCACTCACTACAAAGATTACACACAACAAGCTGGTATTGGTGATACTATACCGAATAAATAGATAGAAAAAAGAAAATGTTTCACAGATATTAAAGGGTTGATATACTACAATCACATAAATGACAGGGTTCAAGCTTGAGGCAATTTTCACTTCATGCACTATAAACTATCAATGGCATAACATGACTGCTTTCAATCATTGTCTCTGAAAACACTGATAGTATTTTCCAACCTGTTACATCATTGATTTAACCATGCTAAACTATTTGTAATATATCAATGTCTATATTAAATTACACCTGATAGATTACTTTGGTCAGATTCAATACAGGTGGAAATGTTATTTCCCAACCTTTTATCACTTATTCCACACCTGAACATGTGTTATTCCTGCATGTATCATGATACGGTGCTGAATAAGGATTTGGTAGGTTTGTTGTCTAACACCACACTCAGCAATATTCCAGCCATATGGCGGCGGTCTGTAAATAATCAAGTCTGGACCAGACAATCCAGTGATCAACAGCATGAGCATCGATCTACACAATTGGGATATGATGATATGCATCAACCAAGTAAGCAAGCCTGACCACCTGATCCTGTTAGTTGCCTTTTACGACAAGCATGGGTTCTTGAAGACCAATTCTAACCCAGATCTTCACGAGTCACCGTGGGCATCATGTGGCCACATGTACACTACTAATAATGAGTCTGATGTTTTACAAATTCTGTGCTAATAATAGTGATCCTATAATAATAATAATGTTAAAATTTGTATAGCGCCTGAATCCAAAGTTTGCTCTAAGGCTCTTGGTCAAATGCTCTGTTGAAAAGAACTGCTTTTAGTTCTTTTTTGAATGGAATGATGTCTGACAAGTTTTTAAAATTTTCAGGTAGTTGGCTCCATAACAGAGGACTGCTTTGGTGAAAGTTCTTTCGCCATAACTCATTGTGCAGGTAGAGGGCAGTGCTGCTTGTTTTGCAGAGGCTGATCTCAGAGTTCGTGATGGCTGATACCATGACACTAGTTCAGTCAGGTAATCTGGAGCTTGGTTGTGAAGGGCCTTGTGCACAAACACCAACACCTTGAAGACTAAGAGAAGGGAATGGGCGATTGGACTTCAGACTGATTGAATGTCTTCGTTCATTTCCAGATAACATTAAACTTTTCATCCTCTATAATCGACTAATTTGTCAAGATATGACTGTTTTCAAGCTGCATCACAAATCTCGAATATTGCTGATGGCTGATTAAACAAAGTTCACTCACACTTTCAAAAACTTTAGGGCTAACAATGGTTGTCCTAGGTATCCAGTACGTACCTCGAATCCACTGACCGTCTGCCTCTGTTTGAGATTGTTCTCCCCATCCAGATTGCTGGTCTCGAGGTGACAGATCCCGTTCGGGTCGCTCGACTTAAGCAGTAGTATATCAGCCGGGATGATTTCATTACAAGACAAGTGGATAAAGTCGCCAGGGTAAACATCAGACCAGTGTTGTTTTACATAACGCATGACTTCCCTGAAACAAAAAAGAAAACTTTATTATGATTATATGATGAGTGCAAGCTTATGATGATAGGCTACATGTATTCCAAACAATGTCAACTGTTGGCAGGTCATGATTTTCTATATCTTAATATAATTTGTTCACCCCAATATTTTCATGTAAGTGATTCTAAAATGTTCTAATTATAAATAAGTAAAAAAGATATGATTATACAATAAGTGCAAGCTATGGCTACGATGATAGACTATATGTATTCCAAACAATGTCAGCTCTAGGCAGGTCATGATTCAACACAACACAAGATTATCAGGCTTGTAGTTAGTATGCCCAACGCGTGAATATAACAGTGCTTGGCAAGAAGAAAAATATCATTTAAGTTGCTCCAATACATGGATCTGGGGTCAGGGATTTCCCTTGAGTCCTGTATTTGAGGGTCTCTGGAACTTAATTCTTAATTTTCAGGGGTCCGGGCCTGGACAACAAAATGGGGGTTCCAGACACTTATATATTATTATTAATACTGTTATTGTATTGTGTATCATGATCATCACATTGTTACAGTAATTAAATTGCAAATGATACCATTACTAGGGGTGGGTATTGTAGAGAATTTTCATATTGCGATATATTGCAAATCAAAAGCGTATATTGCGATATGTATTGCAATATACAGTATTGCATGAAGTATTCTTACACAAAAAACTACTTATAATCGAGTTACTGCTTGATTTATAGAGCAAAAAACACAACAAAATCACCATGCTTGGTTAAGCTTCAATAACAAATTTTAATCATGATAAAATATAAACGTGAATAATATTTGGCACAAATGAAACAAGGAAATATCCGAAGATTTCCGAGTGTTACGACGTTTTCCGAATGCAAGTCAAAATACCGGTTTTCGATCAGCTTATCGCAATACGTATCGTTTTCATGTCTGAACCGGTAAATACCGGTATACCGGTTATATTGCGCAGCCCTAACCATAACCCAGCTAGTTGCAAACTCAGTGATAAATAATTATTACTGGATTGGAATTTTTACAAAAAGTATTTGGACCTTTCTGCATCCCTGTGGATGCGCTAATACATTTTGTTGCGTCCATTGTCAATTTTTATGCGTATAGGACGCATGAATTCGCGTCCTGTAAATCCCTGATGGGTGTTCAATTAGTATGTCCCGGGCAATTCATGTGGGGACACTGGAAATGGGCTTCCCATATTGAACCAATGTGGGGAATCAAGCCCGAGTCTTCAGGGGGACGAGCAAATGCTTTAAACACTTGGCTACCCCACCGCCAGTGAGCAGACATGTGAAAAAATAAGAAAATTTGATACATATCATGAATATTGGGTAACCATTACAATAACAAGCCAGGAGTTGATGTATTATTCAAAACAGTGGATCCCTCTAAACCGGCACAAAAAATGCCGGTATAGAGGGTGTGCCGGTTTAGAGAATGCTCATAAATTAAACAGCATCTGATTGGAGGGCTACCGGTTTAGAGGGCTTCCAGTGTATATACAGTGAAACAATAACAAAAAAATTCTGTGAAAAGTTTTTGGACTCAAGACTATGATTAATAATCACATCACTGTCAAACTGAAAACATGTCAGCGTTGGTTAATATACTGCCTTGCTTGGATATAGTCCATTTTACACATCTTGTTTAAATACCCATATTCAAGCAAAAACACTCCTTTCAAAAACATTCATGAATATTCAATTCTTGTGAATTCACAAAGGGATAATAGATCAATTCACCAAATATGCAATAAAATTTGAAATACATTACATTCTACTATTTAAGTTAATATACATAACATCCAACATTTTGCTCTAGACAGAGATCAACGTTTGGTGCCATGAGAGCTGGGATGCAGACCTCTGTAGTAGAGCACATGGACATTTTTCACTTCATCGACTATTACACCTGAAGTATTTTGAAGCATGTACAAGTGTTGTAAGGCCAACAAAATAAAAATTTCATGTTTTTTTTTTTATATGTTCTAACATTGTCCTTTAATTTTAAGAGGACAATTTCTATTATTTAAGATGACATTTTCATTTTATTAAAGAGGACATTTCTTTTTATCAAAGAGGACATTTTCCTTTATCTAAGAGAAACAGTATTGCCAACAGCAGCCCGACCAGCTGTTCTAGAAGCAAGCCCTTTAAGCCTGATGCATACATACGTCAGGGATGTATACACCTGATTTATCACAGAACCATGCCTGCTGTTTTATTCAACATATTTGATTTATGGTGTTGAGATGACCTACAGTCACTAGAGGCCTAAAACTGGATATGCTGGCCAAATGAAACTGTTCTAACAGCCTTTACATTAGCCAATCATGAAAGACCATTTGTTTAATAGTGAGTGAGTGAGTGAGTGAGTGAGTGAGTGTGTTTTATGTCGCACTCAGGACCAGCTATATGGCAGCGGTCTGTAAATAATCCAGTCTTGACCAGACAATCCAGTGATCAACAGCATGAGCATCAATCTACACAATAAGGATAAGATGACATGTGCCAACCAAGTCAGCGAGCCTGACCAACCAATCCTGTTAGTCGCCTCTTATGACAAGCATGGGTTACTGAAGACCAATTCTAACAGGTCCTTTAATAGTGTGTCAGAACATTACAGGCCAGAGCTGGTTCCCAGCAAGCTTTTGATATGTTTGTCTTGTGAGGTAACTTAATGAATCAGTCATATATGTTTAATTTTGGGATTACACCTTCTAAGTAAACTACAGATTTTAGAACTTTTTGAGTTGAGTCCCACCCTGTATTTTAACCCAAGCACTTAAGGTGAATCACCAGGCTAGCTATTCTCGAAACGTTCGTAGCCCTACGAACTTCTTAAGCCCATTCTTAACACATTGGCTACGATCAAAGTTAAGAATTCTTAGGGCTACGAACGTTTCGAGAATAAGGGCCCAGCACACTAAGTCAGCTTACAATCTTGCACGCACATTATCTCCAGTGATCTACCAGTGATTCAGATGAAAGATAGCAAAAACAATCACTTAAAAAATTTAAATGCAATGATAAGAATAAATTATATCTGAAAGTGCTATTGAACCAGGAATAATTCTGAAAGAGATTCATATGGGAATACTGGTGACTGGTCTTGTACCTATGAAAGAGGTTTACGTGTCACTTTCTGAGATCAACACGTCAACAAGCCTTGAACACAGTGGTCTCTATCAGTAGTATCAACTAACTCACGGCTATATTTGTAAAACACTCCTTATCTCACCCTTGACTGTGTATGTGATTTACAAACCTACTGTGTAGTGTAACTTACACTATTGTTGGACTCAGTAGGTGCACACATTCCTTCAGAAAATTTTTTTGTAATGCTAAGACCCATATCTTGATGGCACAGCACTTGTCAATGTTTTGTTCAAATACTGAGTGAGTGAGTGAGTGAGTGCATGATAGAGTGAGTGAGTGTGATAGAGTGAGTGAGTGATAGAGTGAGTGTGTGAGTGAGTGAGTGAGTGAGTGAGTGAGTGAGTGAGTGGAGGAGTGAGTGAGTGAGTGAGTGGAGTGAGTGAGTGAGAGTGAGTGAGTGAGAGAGTGAGTGAGTGAGAGTGAGGAGTGAGTGAGTGAGTGAGAGAGTGAGTGAGTGAGTGAGTGAGTGAGTGAGTGAGTGAGTGAGTGAGTGAGTGAGTGAGTGAGTGAGTGAGTGAGTGAGTGTGTGAGAGAGATAGAGTGAGTGAGTGAGTGAGAGTGATAGAGTGAGTGAGTGAGTTAGTGATAGAGTGAGTGAGCTGACATCGTTAGCTCCGTCACCTGTACAGACACGAGGACAACTGAATCTTGGGCTCCATTACAAAGGACAAGAGTGAAATGGCTAATGGATGAAACATGAGAGTGCCCATGAAACATGGTGTTTTTTCAAATAATGAGAGTGATGAATGTTGTTATTAGTGAGTGAGTGAGTGAGTGAGTGAGTGAGTGAGTGAGTGAGTGAGATAAAGTAGAGTGAGTGAGTGAGTGAGTATAGTTTTCTGCTGCTTTTAGCAATATTCCTGCAATATCACAGAAGGGGACATCAGAAATAGGCTTAGCAATTGTGGGGAATTGAACACAGATCATCAGTGTGAAAAGCAGATGCTTTAACCATTAACCCACTCAAATATTAGAGGAATTAACATAGAAATTAACATTAAATATTATTCATACATCATTACCCTAATGGCTCAGGTGCTGCATTTCCAGCAAGCATGGTGAGGACAGTATCCTTCAGATATGCCAGAAACCCATAGACCAATACAATAGCTACCTACAAAGGCTATAATATGACAGTTATATACCAACCATGATGTAGCATGCAATATAAAGTGAAACCTCCTTTAGAAGTGATACACATAAAGGTGAAACTTTATGGCAGTCAAGTTCTATTACAAGAGGGACACTTGTGTTCTTATATTACAGAAGTTGAAATCTATACATTTTCACCTTTACATGTAACATACTCATTTTGCCACAAAATATTGCCCAGCGATAATAAGAGGAATTGAAAATGAATGCAAATTGGTGATTTTGCTAAAGGCAAATGGCATTTGGTCATGATTTCATCTTATTTTGATGAGGCATTCTCTAATTATCTTCAAGAGACTAGGAAAATTATCTTAACATTTTAGATAGCAACCAGTTATGTTCCATAAAAATGAACCCATCTGCTTGGATAAAATGGTCATATACAATGTGACTTTGTTGAGCCATGTGGTGTGCTAAACAGTATGGTTGTCCAAATCATTAATTATACATTCTGGTAGAAATTGCACTCAAAATTTACAATGTCAGTCAATTGTGACATCCTAACACTGATAGCTCCAATTATGACAGGCATAGGTTTCTGGACATGTGCAATGATATAACAAATTCTTTAAATATTGAGAGTCACACGTGTTCCAAGCCTTGCACCCCATAAATATATTTCTAAACTGTGGACCCCCAAATATACTACTATTCTATGGCCCAACATGTATTTCTTATCTGTTTATACCCTCAAAACATATCACTAACCTGTGACGAACACAAGTGCATTACTAACCTGTGGACCCCCAAATGCATTACTAACCTGTGGATCCCCAAATGCATAACTAACCTGTGGATCCCCCTAATTGCATTACTAACCTGTGGACCCCCCAAATGCATTACTAACCTGTGGACCCCCAAATGTATTACTAACCTGTGGATCCCCAAATGCATAACTAACCTGTGGACATACAAATGCATAACTAACCTGTGGATCCCCCTAATTGCATTACTAATCTGTGGACCCCCCAAATGCATAACTAACCTGTGGATCCCCCTAATTGCATTACTAACCTGTGGACCCCCCAAATGCATTACTAACCTGTGGACCCCCCTAATTCCATTACTAATCTGTGGACACCCCAAATGCATCACTACCCTGTGGACATACAAATGCATAACTACCGTAACCTGTGGAAGCCCAAATGCATCACTAACCTGTGGAAGCCCAAATGTTTTATTAATGCCAGGCCCTCTCGAAATGTTTTATTAATGCCAGGCCCTCTCGAAATGTTTTATTAATGCCAGGCCCTCAAAATGTTTTTAATGCCAGGCCCCCTCAAAATGTTTTATTAATGCAAGGCCCCACGAAATGTTTTACTATCATCTGTACAAGAAAGCCCCAGGTGAATCCCATGTACGCTCTATCATGTCTGTATGCTGTTATGTCATTACATCTGTTGCTCCGGCCATATCGATTGTTTCACTCAGCTCAGCACATGTTTTGATTATGCAGAGTACACTGTGTGAAAGGAGTGATTACTTCCTGATTAATGATAAAACCTTTCACGCCTTGAGCTATCTTGCTAATAAATAAACTTATGCTTGACAAGTGGTTATCAGTAAAGACTAGCAGCATGGCTTAACAATTGAGCTTATTTGGCATCACAAATTGTTTAAGTATTTGTTTGTGTTTGATACAGTCAGCAATATGACAACAGTTTGTAAATAATGGAGTCTGGACACAGACAATCCAGTGTCTGACATCACAGTGAGTGAGTCGTCTTAAGTGAGTGAGTGAGTTTAGTGTTACACTGCTTTTAGCAATATTCCAGCAATATCACGGCAGGGAACACCAGAAATGGGCTTCACACACTGTGCTCATGTGAGGAATCGAACCCGGGTCTTCGGCATAAGGAGCAAACGCTACAACCACTAGGCTTAGTGACCTCACCGCCCCATCTGATCTATAATGCAATTGGGATATGATGACATGTATCAACCAAGTTACCAAGCCCTGTCCCCGGTTTTCTCATTTTATGACAAGCACCTGTTGCAAAAGATTAGCTCCAACCCAGATCTCAACAGGTTGTTTAAGGAAAATGTTCACATGTGACTACATTTATTCTTTTTTTCTTTTTTTTTAAATGTGAAAATGGAAAATTATATCTCAGTTTATCCATCACAATGAGAGAGTGAATGTGTGTGAGTGCATCTTTCTTACTAATCTATAGTTTAACTTAAACCTGGCTACCTCACTCAAACACAGTATGCCGACTCCGAGCCGACAAGTCCTCTTGCGCCAGGCAAGGTGGTAACAATTATCACCTTTTAACATTTTGTTTGGCTGTGATGCCAGAGCTGAAGTTAGGACAACCTGCCTTCCCAAAGGCATCCCATCTTTGGACAAACACTCTATCTACTGAGGTTTCAACAAGCTAATACAACATGAGATTTAGCCCTACCATGCATAGGTACAGCATGCCTTCAGGCTAATCTTCAGTAAAACGGTGACGAAATACTGTGTTTGCTCTGGCGTGGCTCAATATAACTATAAATAACACGCAGCCCTGAAATCTAAGATAGGAAAATGCAACCCAATTATGATGTGTAGACAGGCAAGTGCATGGAAAAGATTTTCAAATTTGTCTGACCAACACTTACTAGTCCACACAGTATTGATCTGTGTTCATGTTCAATACCTACGAGCTTCATACTACATCACTAATACATCACTTTGTGCTTTTGTGATGTGAGTGAATGAATGAGTGAGTGAGACAAAGCAAGTGAATATTTTTATGCCACTTTCTGCAATATTCCAGTGGGGGACACCACAAATCCTGGGCTTCACACATTGTACCCATGTGACGAATCATATCATGTGATGTGTGAACGCATTAACCACTAGGCTATCACCCCTTGTGCTTTTGTAATTAGTCATACTTTCGTCAGCTCGACATCTTTTTTAATACTTCGAGATTACATGTACATGTTCGTTTTACATTTTACATTATAAGTTATCCTTAATCAGTGGGACTCTGGCATCACACCAGCCTAGATATCAAACTCTGACACCAATATTGGACCAGGATCCAATCTAGTTTCTTCATGCACAACTGGGTTTTCCTGTCAACATGCACCTGGCGCAAGTTCAGTTACACTACTTTAATTATGCCCTGACTGAGGGAGCTGTCTAGTGAAGCTACTATTCAAGCAAGCATCACATTTAAATCCAGGTGATAATACGTTTTTTTAGCTCCTGTGTAAATGGAACTGTTTATTCAGCGTTGTCTCTTTGATTCCACCCACCCCAAAGCTCTCGTAACTTTCCTCGAAGCATTCCTACCTCCTATACTGTAACATTGACTTACGATAGGCGTACCGCTACGAGAGCTTTGTTAACCAAGGCCCATTTCAGTGTCAAATCTTGCTGAACCATGTTAGTGCCTTATTTCTACCAGCTGCGTATCATCCACACGGATCAAAGATATGTTCAATCTTCTTACGTTATAACCTTGAATTTAAGTGTATCCATGTAACTTAACCCTGACACAGAATATGACTATCTGTGCTTAGAAACAGTGCGTTTTAAAGCTTACTCATGTACAGTCAAGTTGCACAACCTGACTCTCAGCTGCATCAACATTCTGTGTCAATAATGTCCCATGTGACAACAATTGTGGAGAATGGATGCAGGACAACATATACTGCACCCTGAGGGATGCATCCGGGTCTCACCTCGACTCAGAAACATGGGGCAGGACCCCAATTATTAGTTTTAAGGGTCCTTGCAGGCAATATCAGGGTTATGTGAAGCAGGGGTGGAAATAACCCATTGCCCAACGACATCCGAGTCCAGTGTTTTTTTTTTTTTTTTCTGTCGGGCAAGCAAATTTGTATATCACGCTGTACCGGTGTCCAGTTGACTTTCCAATGTTAATAATGTTGTTTATTTAAAAAAGCAACAAGAAAACGGCCGGTATAGTGGAAAAATGATCAGGGCAAGTGATTTTACATGTGCCACTGTACCGGAGTACACTAGCAATTTTAAAGTTATTTCCACCCCTGTGAAGTTAAACAGTGTAGAGAACTGTACGTTTAGATAATTTCTGTAGAGCTTGAAATATGAATCACTATCATTAATATCATATGGACTGATGGACTGAAACACTGCACATAACTGCTCTGAAAGAAACAACCAAACGCTTAGCAAGGTCACAGATGTGTTGTGGGTACAGTGAATGATATTTTGCGTCCCTCTGGGCCCAGTGAGTTTCTTTTGTGTGTACATTCTCTACATTTGTGCTTACTGGATACACATCGCGTAAAACTCTATATGCTTATGTATCCCAGCTGTGTAGATTGATGCTCATGGAGCCTGACTCTAGAGTGTCAAGTTGAGAATCAATTATTTGAAGACCACCAGAAGTGAAGTAACAGAAGTAACAGTGTAAAGAGTGAGTGAGTGAGTGAGTATGGTTTTAAGTCACTTTTAGCAATATTCCAGCAATATCATGGCGGGGGACACCAAATGGGCTTCACACATCGTACTTATGTGGGGAATCGGACCAGGATCTTTGGCGTGACGAGCGAACGCTTTAACCACTAGGCTACCCCAACAGTGTAAATAACTGTGATAATTCTTTAGATGGAATTTGCATGGTCTGGATGGATGAAATGATGAACGTAACTGCTCTAAAAGAAGTAACCAAACACTTAGCAAGAACACAGATGTGTTGTGGGTACAGTGAATATTATTGTGCCTCCCTCAGGATGCAGTGATTTCTTTTCTTGGATCCACTGTCTACATTTGTGCAAACTGGATGCATATTTGGATGTTGCGTAAAACCTAGGGCACAATAATATTCATAGTACCTATGCAATCAGGATCCGTTTTTGGTGTCTGGTATTTCATCAATCAGTGATAACCACTGTCTACAGATCACTGATTCATTCCACGATCTAAATTAAATATCTTAATGTACAAAACACTAGAGTTTCAATACTTTAGGACCCTTATATTGCTTGCATGGACCCTTAGAATTAACTATTGGGGACCCCTTGATCCCTGCTCTTGTAAGTAAAAGTAAATCCATGAACATGGCCCACACAGGTACTGTAACAATGATCAAAGCATTCAAGGAATACATCCAAAGTGTCACTTTCCAGAGTAAGACTGATGGAATGCATTTGAGGGTCCACAGGTTAGTAATATATTTGGGGGTCCACAGGTTAGTAATGTATTTGGTGGTCCACAGGTTAGTAATGTATTTTTGTGTCCACAGGTTAGTAATGTATTTGAGGGTCCACAGGTTAGTAATGTATTTGGGGGTCCACAGGTTAGTAAATGTATTTGAGGGTCTTAGATAATGTATTTGGGGGTCCACAGGTTAGTAATGTATTTGAGGGTCCACAGGTTAGTAATATATTTGGTGGTCCACAGGTTAGTAATGTATTTGATCCACAGGTTAGTTGAGGTCCACAGGTTAGTAATGTATTTGAGGGTCCACAGGTTAGTAATGTATTTGGGGGTCCACAGGTTAGTAATGTATTTGAGGGTCCACAGGTTAGTAATGTATTTGGGGGTCCACAGGTTAGTAATGTATTTGGGTCCACAGGTTAGTAATGCACATGGTCCACAGGCATAATATAAGCTCCACAGGCATCAAGATCAAGCTGCGGTGGGCCCATTTGTGGTGTACCCCACCATAATATTGCTCGATCATTGCTAAAAACTAAACTCACTCATCAAGATCAGATTTGGTTGTAGTGAAAATAAAAAAATGTGCACTGTACTTGTTTCCATGTTTGTTGTT